CCAAAGTGCGCACTGCAACCACGCCGCCTCCAGCACACCGCCATACTCACCGCTGCCTTGCGATTGTCTTGCTGTGTAGCCTGTAGCTCCCTACAGCAGAGGGAAAGAGAAAGAGAAGAGGGCACGATGCACAGAAGGCAGCGGAGGAGAGGAGAGAGCGCCAGTGGGGGCGCTTACGGCCCCACCACACCTCGCGTCCCCACTGGGCCCAGTCCAGCCAAAAGATACTTCCACGAGCCACACGGCACAGTCACCGCGTCAGGAAGAAAATATCTTCGTTTTTTTTTCCCCCCAACTTTTTAGGAAAAAGAAAATGGGCAGCGAAAGAAACAAAACAAAAAAGGGGCCCTGTTCCGGCGATTGAGCGGAACCGCGGCGATGATTCTGCGGGCGGTATTGCGGGAGGATGCCCTCCGGTTCATTCAAAGTTCGGCCCTCCGGCGCGCGCGCACACACGCGGGGAAAGGCAAAACGTGTGAAATAATTCGCCAAAGATGAGCCGTGACATCGGAAGTAAGTACCAAAAAAAAAGGAACGGAACACAGTCCATCAACGGATTCACCAACAAAGGGGATAGGATGGTCGCCATGGTATAAGATTGTTCATCAGCCAAGAGCAAGCAAATACAATGAGCCCGCCAAGCAGCACAGGCGTCACAAGAAAGATGTAACCCGCATCGTGCATTCGCCCCTGTTTGTGAAAGACGGCAAGCACAGCTGTGGCCGAACTCGAGGGCTGAAGCCAACCAAACAAGAGGCAAGCAGGGGTAAGGAGAGCTACAGCGAAGGCGCCGGCCAGCAACTGCCCAATGGGCTGCGCAAGAGACCCCGTTGCATGGCCAAAGCAAACACCAAACAGAGCAGCAAGCAGGTGCGCGCCCAACAGCGACTTCGGCTGCGCCCCGGGTGCAGTTATGAGACAAACCGTCAGCGCGCACGACGCCCAGAACGACGGCAAGTACAGCTGCAGGCCGTACTGCCCCAGGCCGTACTCATCGACAACCGCCAACAGGAGCATGATGCCGGTGGAGAAAACGAAGGTGGGGAGGAGGTCGAGCGACAAGGCAAGGGCCGGGGGCCCTGTTTCGCCCGCCCCACGCAGTCGCCCCAAGTACACCGCCAAGAAGCACCTCGAAGCCGCCACCTCTCTGGGCGCCGACACATGACCCCCAGTTGCCGGGGGCGCACCTTGCGGGTCCTCTACTGCCATCGCCTTCATCTCCGTCGCGGCTTCGTCGTGGATCGACGAAGGCCTCAAGACAACGTTGCCGCCGTGGCTCTGCTGGTTGGCACATGCCGCCTAATCGCCATTCTCCAGCGCCTGGTTTTGGTTATTGTCCCCCCTACTCTGCATGCACCCAACACACCCAAGCACAGCACACTCACCGAAGCGTAACCAAAAAAAAAAATTAGCGTAGCGAGAAAAAGACACCAAGTGGAAATTGCCACTCACACAGGCATGCATCGCGATAAGGAAACCGACCAAAAGAGCCAAAGCCACAGACGCCGTGTGTACTGACCCAACACACCGTTCCCCGCAGCCACGGATTTCCACCTGTCGGAGAACAAAGTGCCTTTTCCTCACGAGTGTCTTCGACGCTCAGGGAGCGCGACTTTTCCCACGGCCAATAAAGAAAAGATCTGCGTGAGGTGGTTTTTGCGTCACGGCGTGCATGATTCCAATGCTGTCAAAGCACCCCCCACGACCCGCCGTGCCAATAGCCTCCTTCAATGTAATTCGGACGCAGGCAGTACTGTTGCTGCTCCATGGCGAGCTAAAAAACACGGTTGGCAAAGCGCGTGACGATGATATTTTGCACCATCTCCTTCCCCAGGCGGTAGCCAGTGCGGAACAACTGGCTCTCGTCGAAAAGCGGCTCAAGCTGCCTAGAGGGCTGCTGGGAGGTCTCCGTGTCCTTTCCAAAGGGATTCTCAACGATGAGACGCACCCAGCCCAGGCCGGGCCGCTGCATCGCCCCCTTGCGGATGCCTCTGCACGCGTCCAGAAAGGCGGCGGGTGGCAGGGCCAGGTAGAAGAGACGGTTTCCGCCCTGCTGCAGCC